GATTAACTCCTGCCTGACGGATACGACTTTAGTCTGAGGGCACCGCTAGAGGTTCGAACCTCGACGCATGCCGTCGTAATTTCTATCCCAGTTTGAATTGAATGTGGAGAATGATCTGCTTAGTAACAAAAATAAGTGTAGTAACTTTTAATAAAAATTCACTTTGCAATATTCATACAAAAAAATCGATAAAAATAAGAAAGCACCAGGCACAAAGAAATGACAATGGAAGAAAGGATGTCATCCTTGCAATACTTTAACTTTTAAACTACAAATATTCTGTTTGCTTTGTTATTTTCGAGCACACCTTGAGTTCTTGTTAGGTTAGTTTTGGGTCATTTGAATGGAGCAGATGTGTTTGTATCGTTAAAAACTTAAACTTTTAAATTTAACTTCGGTTATTATAGTCCGATGGATTGCGAGCCGATTTAAATCGATATTTATTACTTGTGCGCCTTTTCCCAAGACTATTTTTTTTTGTTTATTACAAGTCGTTATTTTCGATTCGCAGCGAACATTTATTTATACGTTCATACGCATTTTTCTGATATAGGCGTGAATAAATTTATTTTATTTTCATTTGCAAATGAATATTGCTTCGGTATTTTATTTTTACTAATATACAAAACAATTTTTTACATAAAATACTATAATGAATTTGATACCGAGCACCGATGTCCAATATTGTGAAATACACTCATATTTTTTTTTCTATTTTTTACTAGTTTTTAATCGTGATATTGTCTGCTTTTTTAGAGAGGCGAAATAACCTACTATATGTAGCGGCATCGTGATATAATCCAATAATATAAAATTTCATTGAAATCCATTATTCTATATATATATATATATATATATATATATATATATATATATATATAAGATAACAATTAACCTTGTAAAACGATGATAGACATACCGACACACTACACCATTTATATCTAATATTAATTAATTTTGAAAAAGTGTAAGTACTATTTATATTGCAGGCTATTATATTACGTTCATACATTATTACACATATATAACATTAACGTCACAAACTAACAGCTCTTCGTAAGCCCTCAATCAAGTTTTCACCACCAACCATATAGAGATCTATCAAATACTTTCCTTATTACTAATGAATAATGTTTATTAATCATGACAGACATGAATAAAGGCGATTTATTGTATTAAAATATCATCAACTAGTTAATTTTTCCTCTGACTCCAGAAATTATTAATTATTTTTTAATTGATTGTGTTAAAATAAAGATGTTGAACTTGACTATATTAATTACTAACTAAGATAGACTTTGTAAAAAACCGTCTGAGTGGGTACTTGAGTCTAACCAGTTTCAGCAGCTAAGATGAAGCTGCTTTAGAAGCTGTTTTTCGATTGAAGTGGATATAAGGTAGTCAAATTAATAATAATAATCCAGGACAATGCACACAGCGTCAACTAGGCCCAAGTTAAGCAGTGCTTGCGTAGGCACTAGACAGCCTATACATTTCTTTAATACATACATAATATACATAGAAAACACTGAGACCTATACAGACAAAGATACTCATGAATACAAATGTTTTTACCGTGCGAGGAATTGAACCCGCTACAATTGGAAGTATAGCGGTGTGCTAAACCGCTAGACTACCGAGGTCGTCAAAATATACCAGAAATTTGAGAAAACGTAGAGGTCATTTTAAGATCGGCTGAGTGTATTTTTTGTATAATAAAAATACGACCCTACTTAAAATTTATAACAATAAAAATTCTCCACCACGTTTAGACAGCAATGAATAGGCATATAGACCGAGAGATTCCACGGTCTTTGTATGAGACATTGAGCCCCGTAGTGGGAACGCTTACCTGGCTATTCAAGTTCAATGGCATTTTTTCTCCCGCCTTTATTGAGAGCTAATGCTGTGATTCAAAAACCAATTAAACCATAAACGTGTTGCGTATCTGGTGGTTGTAAATCCGAGTTCAATTGCAATGTGTTGGTTTTGTGAGTGTCTTGGATATCAGATAATTCGTGGATTATGTTACAAAAGATAGAGCTCTGGATGTAGTCGTTTTTTTTTTAATACATAGGCAACAGACATCTGTATGATAATAAGAATCATATTATAACATACTAGCTTTTGCCCGCGGTTTCGCTCGCATAGTAGTGAATATTATTAATTAGGTGTAGTTTTTGCGGCTTTACTTTTGTTTAGCCTGTGTAAAAAATTAGGGTCTACAAAATCTAAGAAGATTAAATTAAAATAGGGGATGAAAGTTTGTATAAACTTTCATCCCCTATTTTATCCCCTTGGGGGTAGAATTAATCAAAATCCTTTCTTAGCGGATGCCTACGTCATATGCATTTTCAGCCCGATCCGTCCAGTGGTTTGGGCTGTCCGTTGATAGATCACTATGTCAGTCACCGTTAGTATATATATATTTAGATAAATGCATGAAAATTGCATTTACATCTATTATATATCTTTCTTATCGGTCCAGGTGTTTTGTATGTAAAAATAAAGTTTTTAATAATAATAATAAATAACCCAGGACAATTAACACAGCGTCATCTACTTCCACCGTACAGCTTGTAGGATACTAGACAACTGATGTAAATTCTTCGATTTTTTTTTCAATACAGACCAATAAAAACAATCATGCTCATGAATACAACTGTTTGCACCGTGCGAAGAATCGAAGACCATCGGAAGTAAAGCAGTGTGCTAAATCGCTAGACCACAGAGGCTATCTATGTATTTATATCAGATTGGGATTAGATAGCGCTACGTGTCCTAAGATATTATTAATGAGTGTCACATGTTTCAGTATATATCCATTGCTGATCATATTAGATGAAACTTGCTAGTTACTATCTGGTAGGCCTAGCTTGCCTGCCATTCCAAGTTCCCTAATAAAAATTGATCCGACAAATATTACGTGAACGAACAAAAATATCAATATCACATAAAATCCCATGAAGATATCACGGAAAGAAATTACAAAGAAAATTTGCGGTAATAAAGAAGAAAACACTCGATCGGCGACAATTTCAAGACAATAACTACACGATAATTCACCGAACTGACTTCGCGTCCGAACTGCAGATTGTAGAGCACACGCGGGGGAATTGCAACTCTACCACATTGTAATAAGGAGTGTGTCTACTGAAAACATAGTAGCGGAATATACCCCCAGTCACGCGACCCGCTTATTGGAAGAACAAAAATAACATTATTAAGCATGAAACGTTAGAAATTACGATCACTACGTGTTCAAACATATTACTATTATGATAATAAATTTTGAGGAACATGATCGTCGCTATGAAGGGTAGATATTGTATTTTTTTATATGACTGAAATGTTATACAAAGTTTGAAAGTTCGTTAATAATAGTAGATTGCGAAGCAATGGGTAATCTTGGTATGGACATGTTAGGAACGTAAACAAACTTACCTATTGGTATAACTATTCAATGCGGAAACTCTGCTAGTATCTTCGGAATTTTGCCTAAAGGGAAGCCTTTTAATAATATATATTAATTATTATATTATAATTTTTAAGGTTTTTAGTTTGTGTTTATTATTGTTAACTGACAGGGAATCTTATATCTTACTAATATTGTAAACGCGAAAGTTGAGTATGAATGGATGTTTGTTACTTTTTCACGCAATATCTACAGAACGGATTTTGATGGAACTTTACAGAAATATAGATTATATATCAGAATAACACACAGGCTATAATTTACAAAGATATTATATAGATTAGGCGAAATATTATAATAAATGTCAAGTAAGTATTATACAAACGAAACTGCACGGATCAGCTAGTACCTGATAAAAATCAATTTTACCATTCTGTTATTTATAATGTATGAGAGTGACACTTAAAAGCGTCTTCAAAGCAATCCTTGAATAGAAATATAAACAAAAAATTAATTATTAAAAAAAACTAAATTAGTATAGTTAATGTTTAATTAAAAAAAATTTTGTACCTAAGTATCACCTCATCACGTCAGCTTATAAACAAGAAAACGATGTATATTTATTCAGTCTCGGTCCGTACGTTTAGTAGTTATGATGCCTCAAACGTAAACATACGCGTCATACTTATACACCGCTCATTTCACGTCGAGATTTATGAAATAGACTTTTAAATAAATATTATTAAATATCTTGTTGATAACTACACGTTGAAAAAAACTAATACGCCAATAAGAGCCAGTGGATGACATAACTCAGTCTAACTGGAACCACGAATATCAGCGCTGAATTTCAGGTCACATAGTTACCATCTGATATTTATTGTGTTAAGGTCATATCAGCACGAATGCCACTTCAACCAAATTGATTTAAGTTTTATGGTAATAAATTACTATTATTATTTCCTACGATGGTCGCGAATTCTATTCCCGCGCAAGAATTTTTGACGCCCAAATATTTGTATTCATTAGTATAATTGTTTCTATTAGTCTTGGTGATTTGTTGGTAACAAAAAAAATATCTAAGTATTTATATGTTGACTAGTACTCATAATAGAAGCCCTGCTTACGTTGGGACTAGACGGCGTTATGTGAATTGTCCTAAGATATTATTATTATAAACGAAGTTTAATATGTAGGACGAATTATGAAAGTGAATAAATCAAGATTTTTTAAGGATAAAAGTCAAACTATCTATATCTACCATTTTTTTCGGACTACCCTAATGCTGTCGGCCGCAGCCGCCCTTTACAGCTTCACCGAAAGATAGGGGTGAGTGCAGATGGCACCACAAACCCGCGGAAGGACTTATGGAGCGGCTGAAAGCCAACACCTGCCTGACGGATACGACTTTAGTCTGAGGGCACCACTAGGAGTTAGAACCTCAACTCAGGCCGTCGTAATTTCTATCCCAGTTTAAATTGAACGGGGATCCATCTGAGAGGTATATATATATGTATATATAGGTGGGGATAAATAACACGTTTCAAATTCGCCACCACATTACCGACTTACCTATAAATTACAGTGAACAATATCGGGAATATAAATAAATTTACTTTACAAATGAGAGTTATTTATCTAATAGTGAGTGAGAAATGGAGCGGCCTCCTTCAGCGCGTAACAGGCCGACTGTCCGACATTTCCACAACCAGCCTGAACTGCAGAGGGGAGGCAGCTACGGCCTCATGCTGAAGTGGATTCTCTTCGTATGGCTGGCGAGCTGTGGACCCCTTGGGAATACCGTCAAGCAAGATGGTGAGTAGCTTTATATGTTTCTAATTAAATTGTTCATAAGTTTTCGAAGCAACTGATAGTATACAAACAAATTAACTATAAAACTAAACTAATAAATAATAACTAAAAAAATCATTCAAAGAGTTTTATGTTGCGTTTACACTATAGCGGGTTGTCGCTATAGTTCTAGAATAATAATAGTGAAATAGAAATAAAAATAATCTTTATTCAAATAAACTCAGTACAAGCACTTTTGAATAGTCATATTATTCTACCACTCATTGGGAACGCAGATTTATTACAAAAAGAATGAAGATAGATAATATATGTCTGAAATAAAACATGATTCTAAATAAATTATTTCGATTATGAGATGTTGTGTTTAGGTCTTTGCTATAGTACTAAACTATCCCTATTACTCGATCAGTAACTCTGTTACGGCTTGAAGAAGATTTGTTTACTTTAAAAGGTAACATTGTATATATGTACAATTTTATTCATAAACTTATTTAAAAAAATATTTTCACGGTACGAGATTATGTAGCCAGCTTGTATGCAAAGTTGCCATATATGCTATGTATATAGGTAGTATCAATATCTATTAAAAATCAAACAAGTTAAAAATGTCAGAAACATTATTGTTAGTATTATCAGAATTTTGTGTTTGGTTCAAATCATTTTATTGTACAAAAAAACTGTAAAAAAAATCTATTCTAAAATCGATACTACAATTCGCCTATCCAACTTCCCATCGACATCATTAATACAATAGCAAGACTTAAACCAACCAAAATTCAGACTAACAATACAAAATTGGAATTGTTGAAGAGTTTGCCTCGCTGAATAGACCTGCGGTTCATATGTGCCTGACTACTAAATATATGTATATTGACGTCATTACGAAACTTTCTCTATATTATAAAAGCTATATATATTTCTGACATAGTATATTATATTTGTTTAAACTAAAAAATATTCGTGTCTTTAACCTCAACTCAAAGACCCTAAACTTACAATAGTCCCCCCTAATAAACATATAAAATATTTATTGTTTGTAATGGATAGTCGAAAAATACTCGAACAGATTACTAAAAGCTACATTATGAAATAATAATAATAATATAAGACAATTCATACAGCGTACGGATTTGTATAATGCGAGGAATTGAACCTGCGAACATCGAAAGTAAGGCGATGTGCTAAATCGCTCACTTACCTGTTAACAGCGAGAAAAATGGGCATTATTTTACTTTAAAAAATTTAAAGGCCTCTACAATAACTGCATCGATTCGTAACTGGATTGTTATTTCTTAAAATAAGTAGTGATATATATATTATTATCTTAAAATACAGTTAATTAAATAAGGGTTAAATGTTAAATCTCCTATGTGGTTATATATGTAGCCACTAATACGTAATCGAAATATCTCTTGGAAAGCACACACGACCCTGAAATAAAACTATGACTCCTAAGAATAACTTTCAATTCTTAACCGGGTTTAGGTCGCAAACTCTAAAACAGGGCGAGAACAATAGATTGCTTCAGGTCGCAGTACTATAAGTTTAAAACATCTAACACTAACACTAAATTTATTTCAATTAAACACTGCACTTTGAATTTTATTAGTGATTGAAAAGCAATCGACGTATTCAAACAAGAAAATGAAACTATATCGCGATGTAATTTTGTCTTAGCGCCATCTAGTAGCATAAAAATGAACTAAATTTATTATTATTATAGCTTATATATGTATATAATATAACAAAATAGCTCTCACTTTGCGTAAAACATTTAGCTTCATAAAGCAAACGAACCAATTATCCGGAGCACAAATAATCCAATAAAACCACACGACAATTAAACGACATGGAAACTCAATTCGACGTTGCGTGTATATATAAATAAAGTTTGTTTGTCGTGACTGTCATCATGTTTTTCCTTACTAGCGTGAGATCTATTCTTACCTAATTATTAAGAAAAGATCGTAATATCTGATGGCCTCGGTAGTCTAGTGGTTTAGGTCACTGCTTCACTCCCGATGGTCGCGAGTTTGATTTCTCGCACGGTACAAACATTCATGAGTATGATTGTTTGTATCGGTCTGGGTGTTTTCTATGTCTATATTTACGAAAAAATATATCTATGTACTTGTATCAGTTATCTAGTACCCATAACACAAGCTTTATCTAGCTTAACTTGGGTGTAGATGGGGTTGTGTGAATTGTCCTGAGATTATTATTATTATCTTACGTTTAATATATGTACATACTAGCTGTGCCCGCAGTTTCGCTCGTTCGAAAATAGCCTATGTGTTATTCTGATGTATTAAATATTACTGTAAAATTTAATCAAAATCCTTTTAGTAGTTTTTGCGTGAAAGAGTAACAAAAATCTATCCAACCATCTGACCATCCATACTCCCAAACTTTCGTGTTCATAATATTAGTAAAGATATGTTAATACTGGCAACTAAAACATTATTCTTTTTACATTTTTTTATGTTATTTTGATACCTTTTTTCTTATATATCTGTTTGGCTTTATTGTGAGACATATTAGGATTATGTGTACACAAATATTTTTTCTGCCTATTTTTTTTTAATAATAGTATATCATCCCACTCCAGACATAGACTTTAGAAGAAGCATTACGATATTATTTCATAATACTATCTATGATGTATTTTTTTGTTACTGTTCATGTGAGGCGTGCAATAATCAAATCTATCACCCTATTCATAAGGTTCTTTATAAGAATGTCACATTCTCTTATTGATTTGACTTTTTGAATGCGCAATTTCAGCATACTTTAATGTAAATTTATCAACATTCAGTGTGCATGCTTAGTAAATTTTATATATATATATATATATATATATATACATAGATGCATTTTACTATTGAAATGTTCATAACATTTTCAATGTTCCTTCAAGTCGAGGAAACGTTGAAGTTAGCAGGAAATTAGGAATTATTAAACTTGTAATCAGTTCATGTAATTAATAATTCTATTCGGTCGATGATAGTGCTATAGGTATATGTGGAGGTTTATGTCTCGGATGTTTTATTTATTTCAATTTTAAAATTGTGTTTTGTTACGAACACTTAAAAATAACTATTGTATAATAGTATGAAAAATACATTTTTTTATATAAAATATGAAAATATAAATATTAATTATTTTTGAACGAATTAAAATCTGAGTTATGTTTTTGATAATCCTAGTGACAGCTTTCATCACTAGACTCAGTCAAAAACATTAAATTTGAATAAAAAATTATTGTTAACCTAAAATTAATAGATACATCAGATGAACTACCTTCATCTCTTGTAATTTTAGGGCTTTTTAGTTTAATTTTATTTCATTTGCCCTGTAATTCATTTAAACTTACATTCGTGATTAATTATATATATCTTTCATTTTTACATAAGGATTATACTTCAAAGTTCAAACATCTACACACCCACGAATATATATGTAGAGAAAGGGAATATTTGGCGTCGACAATTTTGAAAGATCTTTGAAAACTTGCGAACTCGTTTTACTGTGTAGAGAAAATGTGAAAATAATTTCTGATGCTTTCACAATTCCATTAACAATTGTTAAAGACGTTGAAGTTCAGTTATTTGATGGTCTATTCTTTAATTATTTTTTTAATAATATTTTGTATATCGATTTGGTTTAGGATAGTGGATCAAATCGTATTAAACAACATATTTTTAATAGCTATTGTCACAAAGTAAAATGATTAATAAATAAATAACCCTGGACAATTAACATTGCACCGTGCGAAGATTAGAACCCGCGACTATCAGAAGGAAAGCGGTGTGCTATCCCGCTAGAGTTTCAGACGAGCTTCCCTCGTACATTTAGATTGTGTAATGACCTGCCGAGGTTTTCTCAAGAGACTACAACTTGGGATTTTTCAAGAAGAATATTATGGTTTCTTAAGAGTCGGCAACGAGCACTCCTGGTGTTTCAGGAATGCATAGGCTACGGTTACCATTTACTATTACATAGGCCGTATGCTTATTTGACACCATCTGATATCCGTTGTACCTCTCAAGTCTTGCCAATCCATAGGTCTACGATTATGCCTTATATAAATATAATATACCATGAAATTTCACTGCCATATAATCAAAGGTAAATGTTACGAACAGCCAGCGAACTGTAACGAAAGCTATTAGCTATAAATGCTATAATAAACCGACTAGTTATTTCACTAGGTTACTAGGCCAACTAACTAAGTGTATTTATGAAATACTTATAATGTACTTACAAAGAGCAATAGAGTATTTTCCTGTCGACATGTCATTTGTTATTCTGTTTTCTATTCTATACGTATACTACCTAATACAGCAAAGGTTGTTTTCATATAAATTTCCCTATTTTTTAATTGTGTTAATTAAAAAATAGGGATTGATGATAGAAGAATATAAAATTAGGGTATGTATTTATAATGGTCAATCGTAAAAAAAAATTAAATTTAAAATATTGTCCTTAAATAAAAAAAATGGGGTGAGCTACCCTTATCAATTAAGTGGATGAAAAATATTTTACGATCTATTCTCAGACCTACTGGACATACAAAATTTGATAAGTATCGTGGATATTGACCGATTCTTAGGACTGTTCCGGAGGACGTGGCTAAACGGCTTGCCGTTTCTGATGATTATTGTTGTACAAACATTATGACAAGAGACTTTTATATATTAGATATACTTATTTCAGTGACAAAGTAGCTTGTTTTGTAAGATATATTTCGGTAGAAGGATATTGCAACGTTAAAATGATGAAATGCAATGATAGAAACAAAAACTGAAATTACTGAGATCCGAAGCATGACGTCTTAATATTCTGGAATGGCAGCGTGTGAGTAAGACGGTCATCACATGATAACGTGATAGGTGTCCGTGCTGCTGTTACTTGACGATGGTTACCACTTGATGGTAGGTGAGATAGCTGCTTATTTGTCATTCCAATTATAAAAAATCTGTTTCATCTGAACCCAATAATGA